GAATTAGTATGAGGAGTACTTAGGTTTGCTGAAACAGCAAGGGTACAAAGTTGTTTTTTTATGTTAATACTTTAGTAAGAAATAAATGCATTTTCCAAATTTTATCAAAAAATATTCATAAACAAGCAAACTACAACAGTTTGCTTATTCTCCGTAAGAATATTATAAGAATTTTAAATTTACAATATTTTGGAATTTCTCCGTAACCATTAGGCGCATATTAACACTTTAATATACTAAATTATTTTTTTGTAGCTCTACAATATGGTTTGAAAAGGGTTTAATAAATCTTTCGTTTTTAAGGTCAAAAAACGTAAAATCCAATTTTTACCTCATTAAACCCCCCATAAACACCCGTTCCCATAGTCAGAATGATCGGACTCGGTTTGCGAACTCGTTCGAATAAATATAGGAAATTTGCTAAAAACCAATATTTCAATTGTTTTTCTCACCGATTCGAGGCAGGAGGGAATGGCTTTTAAAGTAGAAAGAGAAAAGATTAAGTGAACAAAACAATGAATCAAACATCACGCTTTGCTATTGTTCTCCCGAGGCTAGGATACCAATCTGCCGTTTGTGTTTCTTTTATCAAACATCACGCCTGGCCATTATTATCTCGAGGCTAGAATACCAATCCACCATTAGTGTTTCTTTTATCAAACATCACGCTTGGCCATTATTATCTCGAGGCTAGAATACCAATCCACCGTTTGTGTTTCTTTTATCAAACATCACGCCTGTCCATTATTATCTCGAGGCTAGAATACCAATCCACCATTAGTGTTTCTTTTATCAAACATCACGCTTGGCCATTATTATCTCGAGGCTAGAATACCAATCCACCGTTTGTGTTTCTTTTATCAAACATCACGCTTGGCCATTATTATCTCGAGGCTAGAATACCAATCCACCGTTTGTGTTTCTTTTATCAAACATCACGCTTGCCATTATTATCTCGAGGCTAGAATACCAATCCACCATTAGTGTTTCTGGTATCAAACATCACGCATGGCCATTGTTCTCTCGAGGCTTGAATACCAATCCACCGTTTGTGTTTCTTTTATCAAACCTCACGCCTCGCTGTCGTTAACCCTAGGCTAGAATACCAATCCACCGGTAGTGTTTCTTTTATCAATCATTACACCTGGCCATTGTTCTCTCGAGGCTAGAATACCAATCCACCGTTAGTGTTTCTTTTATCAAAACATCATGCCTGGCCATTGTTCTCTCAAAGTTAGACTACCAATCCACCATTAGTGTTTCTTTTATCAAACATCACGCTTGGCCATTATTATCTCGAGGCTAGAATACCAATCCACCGTTTGTGTTTCTTTTATCAAACATCACGCCTGTCCATTATTATCTCGAGGCTAGAATACCAATCCACCATTAGTGTTTCTTTTATCAAACATCACGCTTGGCCATTATTATCTCGAGGCTAGAATACCAATCCACCGTTTGTGTTTCTTTTATCAAACATCACGCTTGGCCATTATTATCTCGAGGCTAGAATACCAATCCACCGTTAGTGTTTCTTTTATCAAACCGCACGCCTCGCTATTGTTAACCCGAGGCTAGAATACCAATCCACCGTTAGTGTTTCTGGTATCAAACATCACGCATGGCCATTGTTCTCTCGAGGCTTGAATACCAATCCACCGTTTGTGTTTCTTTTATCAAACCTCACGCCTCGCTGTCGTTAACCCTAGGCTAGAATACCAATCCACCGGTAGTGTTTCTTTTATCAAACATCACACCTGGCCATTGTTCTCTCGAGACTAGAATACCATTCCACCGTTAGTGTTTTTTTTTTATCAAACCTCACGCCACGCTATTGTTCTCTCGAAGCTAGAATACCAATCCACAGTTAGGGTTTCTTTTATCAAACCGCACGCCTCGCTGTTGTTAACCCGAGGCTAGAATACCAATCCACCGTTAGTGTTTCTTTTATCAAACCGCACGCCTCGCTATTGTTAACCCGAGGCTAGAATACCAATCCACCGTTAGTGTTTCTGGTATCAAACATCACGCATGGCCATTGTTCTCTCGAGGCTTGAATACCAATCCACCGTTTGTGTTTCTTTTATCAAACCTCACGCCTCGCTGTCGTTAACCCTAGGCTAGAATACCAATCCACCGGTAGTGTTTCTTTTATCAATCATCACACCTGGCCATTGTTCTCTCGAGGCTAGAATACCAATCCACCGTTAGTGTTTCTTTTATCAAACCGCACGCCTCGCTATTGTTAACCCGAGGCTAGAATACCAATCCACCGTTAGTGTTTCTGGTATCAAACATCACGCATGGACATTGTTCTCTCGAGGCTAGAATACCAATCCACCGTTAGTGTTTCTGGTATCAAACATCACGCATGGACATTGTTCTCTCGAGGCTAGAATACCAATCCACCGTTTGTGTTTCTTTTATCAAACCTCACGCCTCGCTGTCGTTAACCCTAGGCTAGAATAACAATCCACCGGTAGTGTTTCTTTTATCAATCATCACACCTGGCCATTGTTCTCTCGAGGCTAGAATACCAATCCACCGTTAGTGTTTCTTTTTTCAAACCGCACGCCTCGCTATTGTTAACCCGAGGCTAGAATACCAATCCACCGTTAGTGTTTCTGGTATCAAACATCACACCTGGCCATTGTTCTCTCGAGGCTAGAATACCAATCCACCGTTTGTGTTTCTTTTATCAAACCTCACGCCTCGCTGTCGTTAACCCTAGGCTAGAATACCAATCCACCGGTAGTGTTTCTTTTATCAATCATCACACCTGGCCATTGTTCTCTCGAGGCTAGAATACCAATCCACCGTTAGAGTTTCTTTTATCAAACCTCACGCCTCGCTATTGTTAACCCGAGGCTAGAATACCAATCCACCGTTTGTGTTTCTTTTATCAAACCTCACGCCTCGCTGTCGTTAACACTAGGCTAGAATACCAATCCACCGGTAGTGTTTCTTTTATCAATCATCACACCTGGCCATTGTTCTCTCGAGGCTAGAATACCAATCCACCGTTAGTGTTTCTTTTATCAAACATCATGCCTGGCCATTGTTCTCTCAAAGTTAGACTACCAATCCACCATTAGAGTTTCTTTTGCCAAACATCACGCTATCTTTCTCCCGAGGCAAGGCTACCAATCTGTTAATCCCAGAGACAGAAATCAGTATTTATTTTTTTTTATTGAATTCAACCCCTGCCCAGACGTTGTCCTGTCGTAATGTGGTTTTGTGTCAATGCTCGTTAATTTTCATGATGAGCTCGTTCGCCTGGCTCAATCACGTCCTGGTTGAAGTTCATTTGCTACCTTTGGATTGGAGCTCGTTCGCTGCGCTCACTTGCCTTCAGGTTAGATCGTTCACTACGCTAACTCGCCTCCAGTTTGAAGTTCGTTCGCTACGTTCACTCACCTTTTGGTTGCAAATTAGCTGTTGTCATAAATTTAAAAATACCGCCGCCGCAGCAAACCTGCAGACTAAGCGAATTTCCATATGTCTGATTGAATTTACACTAAAATGTCTACTTAAAAATTTAACATTTATTTCCTATTTAAATAGAATTATTTTAACAGGTACTTAGGTTTGCTGCATCAGGGAGGGTAAAACTTTTTTTGTAAAATGTTAATAGTTAGTAAGAAATAAAAACATTTTCCAAATTTGATCAAAATATGTTTATAAACAAGCAAACTACAACAGTTTACTCATTCTCCATAAGAATAACATGGGAATTTAAAATTTACATTTTTTTGGAATTTTCTCCGTAACCATTAGGCGCATAACACTTCAATATACTAAATTATTTGTTTTTTTAAGCTCTACAAAATGGTTTGAAAAGATTTTGCAAATTTTTTTTTTTTTGTCAAAAATGGGAAAAACCTATTTTTACCCCATAAAACCCCCCGTAAACCCCCGTTCCCATAGTCTGATCATGCTGGTTCGCGAACTCGTTCGAGTTTATCCCGCCTTACACCTTCAAACCAAATTTTATCAAAATCGGACAAAAATTACTCAAGTTATCGTGCGGATGGACACATATATATATCTCTATATATAGATATATAAAAATTTGAACGAATGGTGTTTTTGGCCTCTGGGGACATCAAAATGAAAAAGTAAATCGGTCCCGGGCCTAGGTCTTACCATGAGACCTACGGTAATAGCTACTTCCCTATAGGGAATTTCGCTAAAATAATAGTGCTGTACCCTGTTGGTAAACCTATTAACTTTTTAATGCTATTGAACATCACAGAATCAAATTGTTTAGTTGAACCAGCTGTTAAGATTCTTTTATTCCATTTAAATATGACTCACAAGGTTACCATGAGAAACTCCAGAGGCACTGAGGCGGAGCCCTTTTCACTGATCTGCACCAAACTTCACACAAACCATTCTTGAATAATGCTTAATAATGTCTGAAAGTTTCATTACAATCTGTCGAGCGGTTTCGGAGTCCATAAAGGACAAACAAACAAACAAACATACATACATACATTGGATTTTATATATATAGATCACACCTGGCCATTGTTCTCTCAAAGTTAGACTACCAATCCACCATTAGAGTTTCTTTTGCCAAACATCACGCTATCTTTCTCCCGAGGCAAGGCTACCAATCTGTTAATCCCAGAGACAGAAATCAGTATTTATTTTTTTTTTATTGAATTCAACCCCTGCCCATATGTTACCCAGAGGCTAATCTACCCGTCGGAAGTAGAAATATTACATAGTTTTGTTTGAAATAAAAGCATCTGACATATAATCTTAGTTAAGAACAAATTAAAATTATTAAGTGATATTTTTTTAATGCTATGTTATAGTATATACCTAGTCAATGATGCTATGATTTTATTTTGGTAACTGCTGTACCAAGTACCGAGTTTAATATTGAACGACAAGCACCAAAGGTTAATGTTAGGCGAGAATACGATAACTTATTATTAGTTTTTTGATATATTGATTTATTATGTATTAACAAAAGTTTTTTTTTGTTTCAGTCAAGAAAGCTCGCTATTTCGGGGCACAAGGTAAGAATATCATTATTTTACAGAATCTATATTCTTAAATAAATATTTGTCATAAAAAGTGATAGTCTGATTAGTTACAACAGAAATAGAGTATTTTAAAATAGTTTTTATCGTTATAGCATATCTGCACGGGTTTTGAGTTGCAGTAGCGCTCTAATGCAGATGTACGTAATTTGTTACTATATGCATATTAAGCACCGTAGAGAGCTGATTATCTGAAACAATTGGGGTTTGGAGGTGTTCAGATGATTTTTTGTTGTTTTTTTTTTCAGATTATCCGTTATTGACAGTAAAATACAATAATGGTATGGATTATTTCTAACATTGATTGATAACAACAATATACATTCGCACTTACATTTTCACTGGTTTTGATTTTGTCCTGTCATTAAAAAAGGTTGTATGGGTAAATTCTTCATATGTCTTCAAGTTATAGGGTTTTATTTGGAAAATCTCCTAGGGATCTGTCTTAATGGCTTCCAAAGTTGCTATGTTGGAAGAATTAAGGTAAAATAACTCTATCTTCAAAATTAAGTGATTGATCTTATTGCTACACTACAGTATGTTGTAATCTTTTGGAGCTATTGACTTCAAATATAATCTTAATGTTATACAATTACGTCATTTTTTACATCATTAGGAAATAATTTATTTCCATATGTATGCCAATTTAATTTATCTTACTCTAAGCCGTCATTAAAGACAATTAATATTTAGTAATCATTATTATTCATTGTCAAAAAAATGCATTATTTTAATTATTTGTGCAAACAATCAATCACAAATTATATCATGAAATAAAAATAAAATATGATTTCCAAGCTACTATAATACCCTCAAACTACATACCTTCATAACTTCATGACCTGGTTTTGATTTTGGGTCGAGGAGTACATAAAGGTGCCTTCTTTGGGTCAGTTTCATCAAATGACCCGGTGGAACTGATATTATACACTTAATTCAGGACAATTATATTTCCTGTTGTGGGGTATACAGAAGGAAAACTTTTTTATAATTGTTATGTACACACAGTATTGTTATCCGTGCAAATTGTTCGTATTTAACGAACGTTTCACAAATTTTTTAAATATTTTGTGTTTTGTTTCAGCCGCACAGAATGACTCGTACGTCACGCTCAAGCTGCAGAATGTCAAGTCAACGACGGTAACAGTAAAAGGGGCCAATCCGTGCTGGGAACAAGACTTCCTCTTGTAAGTATAAGATGTATAATAAATGGTAAAATCGTTGCATAGTGTACTAATCAATGCCACCCAGTTAAGAGAAAGAGTTTAGGTATTCTTATTTTATAAAATTTAGATAGTTATACCCTTTTATCACATGAAAACTACCAAAATGTACCTGAATATATACACAAGAATAGACCCTGGATTAGGGTCGGAGTGTCATAGTGAGTGTTTTTATAGTGTTATAGCAGTCCACTAACTTTGAATACCTTAAGTAGACTCCTAATCATAATTTGAACCTAAAACCTTTTTATGTGTGTTGTCTAAGTTGCAAATTGACTTAATACATGTCCAGTTGTATTGCATGAGGTTAAATAATGTTCAACAGTTGAATAAATAGCTAAAACATGCATCGCCCAAACGCTATACATATCACACTCGTATAAACGTTATAAATAATGTAGGTTGGGTATAAAATGTAGTGTTTCATCCGTCTATCAGAGCCCGAACCCACCATCCTAGTTGTTACTGGTCTCATTACCGTCAAACTTTAGGTGGGAAGACAATTCATAAACGTCTTTGGTAGAACCACACAAGAAAAAGATAGCTAACTTTAGAGGTCATAAACGATAAAAGAACTAAATGCCAGCAACGGCCAGAACCCTCAAGGCTAAAGTCACATGATAACCTGACTTGACGAAACGTGACGAACAATCCCGGGTCTGTGTCCAACAATGTAGAGGGGTTTTAGTGAGTAGTATCGTCGTACAGGAGTCTCACACTGCAGGCTCATCTGCGTAATTTCACTACAAATCCCGAAAGTGACCAGTTTGACAGCAAGATAGGAGTTTACGAGAGAGGCGAAGCCGTTTCCGGAAAACAACTGTTAAGCCCCGTAATGGAACGTTCATAATGAGTAGTGAAAGATACTTACGATACTAAGTGTCACGGTGCAATTAATCACACAAAGATTTTTGGTTTTAACTTGGTAATAAACCAATATTACATAGTTGACTAAATTATCTTTCAAGTTTTCAAAGAAAGGTTTCATAATTTATTTAAAATTCAGTTGATTATTTTACAGTTACACAAAAAGTATCCCGTTAAGTAAATATGAGCAAGATAAACGAGGTGTTGGAAGAGAGAGCTATTTCATTTTTCAAGTCATAACAAACGTAAACATCTGAATAAATTTGTCTCACTTGCTTAGAACAATAACTCAGAAGAACAATCCGCCGGCCAGATGACAGCTAGTCGTCGGGGGTTTTATCATTATTTAAACATTACTAAAAGAGTCTGTTTTCTAACATAACTTGGAGTCTGTCCAATTTTTGCTTCACAAAATTAGTTACAGTAGCATCCATTTTGCAGTATACTGATTAGTGTTAAAGATATAATCAAGAACGCCCTAGTTAGTTAAGCCAAGTAATGATAAATAAGTTTCTGGTGTAACAGGCTGCTCTAATTGGACTATTTTTTTTTACAAAATTATGTCGATGTATGTGAAATAATAGTCTTAATTTAAACATGTTATTTTAATGTAATACTAGTACCGTTAAACGATGATTTTAGTCCACAGATTACAAAATTACTAGATTTATGAGTTGTCTTAATTTTACACACGTTCAATATTTTTTGTATTTGAGAAGCATTAGAAGAACATTTGGCCATATTCGTAAACAGTTTTAGGGTTAAAAAGGTGCTAAACTTCATGGTATTTGTTAGCATTAACATTTCGAATATAAATAAATGTTTACATATCATACAATATATGAGGAATAATAGTATAGGAATTGATGTAAGTAAATCAAAATGTCTAAATGCTGTAATAGCCTACTACAAGGCTGAAAGACTATTTCAATTTAGTTTAATTGGCCATATTTTAAACATTTATGAAAAAGTGTATACATAGATTTAAATAAACTTCTCTAAAGATTTATCATACTCGTGGATCATCTGAAGAAAGCATAACAACTATCAGGCTACTCCGATATATGTAGATGGAGTTTTGTTGTTTATAATTTGATTCTTTTGGCCAACTTTAATACTATTTTGTCTGGTATAGAAGTTAGTAATTTGGTTTGATCAAGTCAAAATTAGAAAATGTAGAAACTTCGCTGAAGTATGAGAAAACATGTAGTCGATTTTAGCCAACTCAAACAATAATCCCTAATCCCTTTTACAACAACTTCATGTTGATTATAGGATGACAAGTGAATTTTTTTACTATTTATAAAGACTTTTGTTTTAATACATTTTCCGTAAATTAAACCCTTAATATTTTGAAAGAACGTATTCTTATTTAATAACCAAAAGATCCCGTCCGGCTTTGCCTGTGACAATATTAAACACCTCCGCTGCAGCAAACCTGCAGACCAAGCGAATTTGCATTTTACTAAAATACTTCCTTTGAGATGTCAGATTTAATCCCTATTCAAATACTATTGGATTCAACGAGTACGTAAGTTTTTCAGCTACAGGGAAGACGATAAAGCGGGTTTTAGTGAAATCTTGATAGCTTAGTATAAAATAAATATATTCACCAACATTTTTCCGTAAAAAGCAAACTTTAGCAGGTTATTTATGAACAATTAAAATAACATGTAAATTTTAAAATTACATATTCTGGAAGTTTTCTCCAAACCTATTAGGCGTGCATGCTACAACCCTCCAAATAATAACTTGTTGGTTTTATACGCTCCAAGAAATGGTTTAGAAAGAAATTAAGAAAGGTTATGTTTTGAGGGCTAAAAATAAGAAAATGTACTTCTTGTAGATAAGAGAGTAAAATTTATAAACAACACAAGGGCTAAGAACTGATCCCTATGGAGCTCCATGGAGGTGTTTGTCATAAAGTACTTCTATTTCAATTTAACACTTAAATTTAACTTCTTCTCTTTGAACCAGCGTTCCAAACACAAGTTTTTACCACAACTTCACAACTCTTACATAAAGCGTGTGCTGTTGTTTGAATAACCTCACAATAATTTTGATATTCTAGTTTTCCTTGTCACACTTTTCTTATTTAGGTCTGCTTTACTACTATGTACTATGTACTAGATTGTTCACTAAGCCAAGTTCTCAAATGGAAGATGAGTAAAAAAATTTTAAAAAATTATATTAAACTATTATGATCTCTAAAATCAACATTAAGAACTCAGAACCAAAAACCCAGTTACTTATTTGAATGATCAAGTTCTCGCATTACGTTAATGGATTTTTCATAAAAAAATAAACATTAACCATCGCAGTTATTTATACTAGTGCAATCGTGCAAGATGCAAAAACGGCATTTTGAACGTTAATAACTTTTTATGTATGCCACTAAACCAAATAAATCTAATATAAAATGTAACGAATTGGACGATAAATCTAATTTAAAATGTAACGAATATGATAATAAGACATATTTATTGGTTACCAAGGAGTGTATTCTAAACTGCAATAAGCGTCCAAGTAGAGGGATTCAAGAGATTTATAAGTAGGTACACATTATAATGTTTTCCACGTATAAGTCAACCTAGACCGTTCTAGGCACCCTTATTGTACACCCAAGGACATATCTATGTTTTCCAGCCAGTATTATCTCATTATGTATTTTCTCATTAGGTTTTTCATCAAGGACGGCCTAACGAGAGTTTAATGGTTAATAGACACTGTTTTATAATCCTGGGGAGGTCTATATCCTTGACACTTGATGAAGCTACACCTCTCCATTACAACCTTCCATTAGTGAAAACCCCGTGTAAGGACAACAGAATTCGTATCCTCATTATATGTACATAATTTTACAAACTTTCATTGTTAGATAATTTATATGCCAATAAAATATTATTAAGAGCTTAAACTGGACAAACTTGTTAAGCATCCTAGAGTAATATTGCTGTTAACGTTTTAACAAATGACTTTGAAAGGTGACTTTTTGAGTCGTTAAAAGTGAAGTCAGCCATGATACACGCGCTGACAGAAATTATTCACTACCAAGTTACTAACAAGTGTTACTGAATGTATTGTTGTGCACCACTGTTAGTTGTTGATAGGTGACTCACTGACTGTCAACAGTAAAGTTTTGTTGAGTGAAGCTAGTTGTAGAACACGTGCTAACTGAGAGTTCATTTAACATCTACTAATGACTGTTATTAAATCTAAAGTCAAGTTTTAACAGCGATTGAATGTTCATTAATTTTCCTTACCTTCTTATTGGATGCATTCCAAAATCACATAATCCTTTATACAGGGTGGTAAAACGTCCCAGGACGGTTAAATATTTAAAAAAATAATGCAGATAGAGCTAAAATACTTGGTACAAAGTTCAGGGCATAAAACTCTATTTTTAAACATATTTAGTGATCCAATAACTCTTCAGGGGGACGGCCCACAAGGAGTCGGAAGAAAATCTTACATGGAAGCATAGGTCAATATGCACAACAAATTAAAGGTCTTTTTAGTAAAATACAATGCCGCAAACCGCACTTCAAAAGGTTGATCCTGCGCAAAATGACAGTTGTTCAAAGATTCATTTAATTTACATTGCTATTATACGCTTACTCATCAGGGGGCACAGCCCTAGGAATCGGAAGAAAATTGTTAACGTAAGCATAGGTCGATATGCACATCAAATTAAAGGTCTTCACTAGTAGATTACGATGCCTTAAATTCAAGCTCAAAAGAATGCCTGAGTAAAAAATTGCAGTCGTTCAAAGATTCAAAATAGCGGGTTCAAGAAATCTTTGAACATCTGCCATTTTGCGCAGGATCAACCTTTTGAAGTGCGGTTTGCGGCATTGTATTCTACTAAAAAAGACCTTTTATTTGATTTTGATCTATGCTTTTATTTAAGATTTTCTTCCGACTCCTTGTGGGCCGCCCCCCTGAAGAGTTATTGGATCACTGAAAATGTGTTAAAATAGAGTTTTATGCCCTGTAACTTTGTACCCCGTATATATTTAACTGTCCTGGGACTTTTTTATCACCCTGTATAACAAGCTGTGTATTTCCTTTAATTCCATCTGAACTTCTCACTAAATGTATTCAGTGAGAATGTAGTAATCTATAAAGAATTCGTATTTGAAATTTACAATTCTCCACTCATATCCACTTTAACTAAATGTCCTGAACATCCTGTTACGTTAAAGTGTCACTCATTCATGAGTGAACTATTCTGACTCCAAACCGAAAACCAACATCCACCTATTTCGTTCTATGTTCCATTATATGTAGAAAAGACATTTAGTTGAAAACTACAATCACCCTTCACCTATTTCGACTTACCTTCTTAATTTGTGTATTCAGAAGGCATTCATTCATTAAGAAACATTTTTTGTTACAGCCTACAATCGTCTTTTACTCATTTACCTTTAACTAAATAGCCCAGTATGCTTAGAATTTTAATTTTTTTTGTGATCAATTCCTTATTCAAGCCTACAATCTCCCTTCACTCGTTTCGTCATAACTAGATATCTTTATTTCCTAACCCATTAACCTACTATCAATCTATGCATCGTTTACTTTTATTGGATGTTACAAAGAGTGTTTTCCATAAATCTATTGTATTTTTTCCTAATTTGTTTCCAGTGAGACGAACGATGTAAACACAGGGCTGCTGATCGAGGTTTGGAGTAAAGGGATGATCTGGGACCGAGCCCTTGGCTACCACTTCCTACCTCTGCCTTCCGTCCACTACTCCAGTGAGGTCAGTACCTATTTTTTTTAATTTATTTTTTTTTTTTTTTTTGGGGGGGAGGTTTTTGTTTTGTGTACCTGGCACTTGAACCGAATGGAGTTGTACACCACGCCTCGCTCTTTAAGTGGTGATTACCCTGATGAAACATACACCATCAAACGTGTTCAGACGTAGAACTTATTTAGACTATGATAATTTTACAAAATAAACAGATATTCAGTGCCTATGTTACACAGTAGCCCCTCAGCGTTATGTTTTAACAGAATAATAATGGCTAAAAATGCAATCATATTTTTTACGACTCGTTCCCTGTGCGTATAATTGAAAATCAAACTAAAATCATATTCTTAAAAATATTTTTGTCTTAAACACAGATGGGTTCCTACACAGGCAATATGAGGGCAAGGCAATGATTATCAATAAATCACAAAAATATTCTAAGTAACTATAACATAAAAATAACCATTGTAATTGATCAATCGTCGACAGAAAAGGGATCTCCTAATAGGGAGCAAAAATTCTTTTTTCGGAATAAATAAGTAAAGAATTTCACTCTTTTTTATACTATTTTATACATGTTAACTTATAAGTTTTTAAATAATTGTGTTGAGCCTGTAATTGGATTATAAATATTTCAGTAAAAAATTATATTTTGTTGAGGAGTATTTATTTAAAATCTTAACACAGATGCCTTTTTGTTTATTACCAAAATGGATGTTGTTACATAGAATACGAAAATACTCTTCAATATTGTTTAAGAGGCCATCTAATATAATAACTGAATATTTGTATTCATCAAACAATAATTACACTCAAGCTAATGTAGCACATACTACACAATCAATTTAGCTCAACTAAATTATGTTCTATTATGAATTCTGAGAATGGACGATAATAAAATGATATCACAAAATTGAAATTATATTATGCCATCCAGACTGCGAGGTGTTTTCTTGATGTTTCCACGAATCCAGCAATTTTCCTTATTAAAGTTGATATTTTGATATTCATATATTCCGTGTAATACAGGTGATTTAACTCTTTGAAACATATACAACTGATACAGTTATTACATTAGTTGATTATATTGGTTAAAAGGGAGTAAAAATTATGTATATCTACATGACATTGTATTTTATAATAAGACTGAATATTGCCATGAGGATATAACGTTTATTGACTGTATACTGTTATGAGTTTGTATGATGTCAAAAATCTGTATACTGTCATGACAAGCATACTATTGCATACTGTACAACTTCATTACACATTATACTGTCATTATGTGAAGGTTTAGAGACTATTACGTCACGAGACGAGAGGGTATAACATAACATTTATTGTGTGAACGTCACATATTCATGCAAACGTAAAAATTTTATGTTTCTATATTAGTAGGGGAAAAGTTGTAGGTAAGTACTAAACGTACTTAATAAGATTATGAAGATGCAGCTTATTTGATCAAATACTAAAGGACTCTCAATTAATGAGTGAAAGAATCGTGGTAGGCCTAAGTAACGTATGCTTCAGGGCTTACGTACTTAGGACGAATGTCATCGATAAAAAGGAATAATTTTGTAAAAAATAACAAGATTATAACACAGTAAATCCATTTGTTTATATACATTTTTATCGACTACCCAATCTAATGATTTTGTGTTACTGGTGTTACACAATGTGTATTACCGTTTTGTAAGTGTATACAGTATTAGTGTAGAAACATTTAAATTTTTATTATATCATTGTAAAAGAAAAAATACTAATCAAGAATCAATTTATAGTTTGACATGATCAAAGGATGATTTAAAAAGAGTAACAGTCCAAGTACATCGATTACATTATAAAGTTTAAAGGTGTTTCTTAATGGAAGAACCTTGCAGAGTAAAAGGTATAACTTAATTTAAACTTAAACGTAAACAATCAGATCCATGCTTTTTGTAAAAAGAGTCTCTCTTTTACTTCAAACATTCATTAAGAGTAGCAAGTTTTAAGACGAAAGATGGCTACTTTCATCAATTCTTTACCATCCAAGGGTGGTGATTCTTTTTCTTTTATTCATTTTTTAAATTTCTAATATTAGCTTAAAATCCATTGACATATTGTGTGTTTTTAGCGAATTTCCCATATTGGGAATAAGCTATTACTATAGTAGTCTTAGTAAGACCTGGACCCGGGACCGATTTACGTTTTCATTTTGAGGTGCTCAGAGGCCAAAAACACCATCCGTTCGAATTCAGATATACATTATATATTTATGGGTTTTATGGGATTACAATTGGTTTTTCCCTTTTTGACCCTAAAAACATAATAGTTTACAATTTCTTTCCAAACAGTTGTATATAGCTTAAAAAACTAATGATTTACTATATTGGAAAATGCATTTATTTGATCCTAGCTACGTATTAATATTTTACAAACATACCTTTAAACCCTCCCTTTTGCAACAAACCTAAGAACTCGTTAAACGAATGCTATTTAAATAGGGATTAAATGTAATATATTTAAGGAGATATTTTAGTGTAAATCTAATCAGGGAAATGGAAATTCACTTGGTTTGTAGGTTTGCTGCGTTAGGGATATTATATATATTGTTCGAAATATTGAACTTTATTATACCATAGATTGTTCATCAACTCTATTTCGAAAAAAGATTTTACTTTTAAGTATACGTCATAATAAGTAATACAATGTTCTTAAATATTACAGTAGATACTATATTAAAATAACTAACTTTATTGTATTTAGATGAAAGTTTTCGAACATAGCCAATACTTCAATATTCAACGTAATTGCAAAAAAACTATAACTTTTGTTACGAAGGACAAATTTATTACATTTGTATATGGTAAAAGGCATCTTTACTCCAGTAAAAACACAACTAAAATAAATTTATTCTAAGTTAAGCTATGTAGTTAACGTTGCTGTTTAGAGTTTAGAGCGTATTTCTTTTTTTTCGAGACAAATGATCAGTAGATAATGACTTCAGATAATGGATATACCAAGATTGTGCCCTCTACATATAGTATTGCGAGCCAAATCAGGAATATAAATAAATTGTAATCTAAAGCTTTGGTGGCACCGATGCAAACGAACGTAGTTAATTGCTTGGAACATTTTGGCCGACTAAGCTTGCCTGGATTGCATAGAGCTATCCATTATACTTTTTTAGTGTTTGAAAATGGCCATGTTCATTTATAACCATTTGTTATTAAAACGTATATAATATTAAAACAAATCGTCTAAAATGGTGTAAAATGTTGAATATATGTTGCAACTAGCGAACAAATCCACAAACGCAAAAACGTTTGAGACCAGCATAGTGTTTTACCTTATTCTAAAACAAGCCGTTGTAGGTAGGTCCCAAACACGTATTGAAAATACGAATGCATTTTGTTCCCTCCAGTACGACAAATATTTTGGTTTTTAAATCTCAAAAATTTACTTTTTCTGGGTTTCATGAATGATTAAGGAATATATCGAGCGCAATTACAAAGGTTTGGTTGTGTTGCTAGCTTAGCCTAGCGTCCCGGATTTCGGTGCGGGAAAGTTGTAAATACAAAACCATAAATACAGATAAATATTCAATATACAATGTGCATTTTGAATTCACCATAATTAATGTTTATTGAATAATGTTTTCATAACAAGTTTCACTAAAGTGGGCATGGAAAGTAATTTGAAGTTTAGATGTAGGTAATCAGACGAAACTGCACCAATCATGAAACTGTGCGAATCATGAAACTAGATGCTTCTCTAGGTTCTTTAAATGAAACTAGTTATACTCGAGGATTCAAACAACGAATCACACAGTCAGTCATTTACCTCTAATGACTCTACCTGGTGGGTTGAACAGTCTTAAATAAATGAGCCAAGCTAGATTTTTATTAAAATTTTTTAATAATGGTTTATCCCTTTAACAAAAGTATAGTGGTAGATTAAAGAGTACGTCAATACGAAATAAGGGTTGCGCATGGATTTTTGAACTCATAGAAAAAAGAACAAACAACATAATCCCCCCTCCTCCCAGAAAAATCCCCCCTTCCCACCCCCTAATTCCTCCTTACTTTGTTCTATTTTATTGTTGAAAATGTAGAAATGTGTCAAAGTAGTTTGAGATTATTACCGTCGTGGTGGGGTGAAAAAAAAACTATGATATCTTATGAAATGTATTATGTTTATTGGCCTAAACAGTTTTTCTATTTTGAATAGTGGCAATCTAGGGCACCCATTCTGCAGACATTTGTAGTTTTTACCTAAATCTAAACATATACTGGTTATATTTATTAAACTACGAACCTTTTTAGCGAATTTCCCATTTAGGAAATAAGCTATTACCGTAGGTCTCATGGTAAGACCTGGACCCAGGACCAATTTACTTTTTCGTTTTGAGGTCCCCCAGAGGTAAAAAAAAACACCACCAATTTGGTACAAACGTGTAAACCTACGTTTATTCGAGCGAGTTCGCAAACCAGCATAATCCGGCCATGGGAACGGGGGCTTATGGGCGGTTTTATTGGGGTAAAAATGGCTTTTACCATTTTTTACCCTGAAAACAAAATTCTGCAATTTCTTCCTAAACCATTTTGTAAAGCTTAAAAAAAGAAATAATTTAGTATATTGAAGCACTATTGTACGCTTAACGGTCGCGGAGAAAAAAAAGTTTAATTTTAAATTCCCATGTTATTCTTATGGAGAAAATAAAAACTGTTGTTGTTTACTTGTTTATGGAAGTATGTTGATAACATTTGGCAAATTTATTTATTTTATCAGCCTTTACTATTGACGTATCGCCAAAAAACACGTTTTACCTTCCCCTTAGCAGCAAACCTAAGCACTCGTTGAATCTAAAGTGATTTAAATTGGGAATAAGTATGTCTTATTTTATTAAAAATTTAATCAGACAAGTTAAAATTTTCTTAGTCTGCAGGTTTTCTGCGGCAGGGGTATCAGATTAAAGTTTAAGGTAAACTTGTAGGTAAAAAAATTTGAACCGGTAGGTAAGAATTTTT